AATAGGTTCTCAATTTCTAGCTTTCTGTCTCCTCTTTCTGGTACCCCTATGATGCAAATGTTGTTAATGCTTGATGTTGTCCCAGAGGTCTCTTAAACTATCCTAATTTTTTTTAAATTCTTTTTTTCTATTTGCTGTTCTGATTAGATGTTTTTTGCTATCTTATCTTTCAAATCACTGATTTGATCCTCTGCTTCATCTAGTCAGCTGGGAATTCCTGCTAGTGCATTATTCATCTCAATTATTGTATTCTTCATTTCCAATTTGTTCTTTATTATGGTTTCTATGTTCTTTTTTATGCTTGCTATCTCTCTGTTGAAGTTTTCACTAAGTTGTTTAAGCATCCTTATAACTATTCTTTTGAACTCTGTATCTGGTAGGCTGCTTGCCTCCATTTTGTTTAGGTTTTATCCTGGAGTTTTATCTTGTTCTTTCATTTAGGATGTATTTCTTTGTTTCCTCATTTTGGCTGCCTTTCTGTTTTTGTTTCTATGTATTAAGTAGATCTGCTATGTCTCCCTGTTTTGGCCAGGTGTCTTGGCCTTATGTAGTAGGTGCCTTGTGAGGCCCTGGCAAAATCTCCCTGGTCACCTGCTCTGGGTGCTCCAGGAGTCACTGTTGTGTGGGTTATGTGTGCCCTCTTGGTATAGTTGAGCCTTGATTGCGATAGGCTTGTCAATGGGTGGCATTGGCCTTTAGACTGATTGGCTTTGTGGTTTTGCCATGTCCACAGGTTCTGGGCTGCTGTGTGGGGGGCTTATCCCACTGAGTGAGATTCCCTCCAAAGGGCTCTGGTGCCTGTTGAAACTGCCCTTTGGGTATGCCACTTGTGGGCTAATTGGGCAGTGCTCTGCTGTGGTCTGAAGCCAACCTCCAAGTGTGTTGGTTCTGGGGCCTCTTGGGATGCGCTCTGGTGCAGGCCCTGGTCACCCACTGCCTGTGACTGCTTGGGGACTACCTGGTAAGAGCTACAAAGTGATTCACTGCTTGTTCACTGCCTGTGCTAAAGTTAGAGGCATGTGGGAAACGCCACGCTGTGAACCGAGGACGTTTGTCACCAGGATGAGGCCTGCGGTAGCTCCATAAAAAGCCAGGACACACCGAGGCTTGCTGCCACCCACCAGCTCCCTTAAGGTTCAGACTCTGATAAAGCCTCCTGCAGTATATAAGCTGGGTAAGGCAGGATCTTAGGGAGTCACTAGAGTGGGAAGAGTTGTAGTTACCAAGTTAATGTAGACTCTGATTTGGTGCCGGTGCTGAGCCTGGAGTTACTCAGTCATAGTCGCAGAGTACACTGAGGCCAGTCAGCGCCTGCCTAGGGCCGGCAGATAGACTCTGATAGTTTTCCAGAAAGAGTGCAATGTGGGTGGGGCTGGTTGCTCAGGAGAAATTGCCTCTGGCGTTGGGGGAATCAGGAGGGGCAGGATTCCAAAGACGCTCACTAGGCCAATTAGATTCAACATAGAAAAGGTGGTGTCTGCCTGCTGGCTGCATGGGAGAATGATCTCTCACTGGGAAATGCCGACAGAGAAATGCCAGTTCTTTGCCTGTAGCCACACACCTCGGTCTGACCCCTGTTTGTCTCTGAGCACCCCCAAGTCACTCTCCCTCTGCTGGAGCCGAAGGTGAGTGCCAGCGAGTGGGCGAGTCTGTGCGTGGGCCATCTAAGAGGAGGCCTGTGTTACTTGCAGCCTTCCATCCCACCTGAATGGTCAGAATCCCCAGTTGTTCGCAGCTAGATGTTGTGGAGGCTCCTCTTCCTGGCCACCAGTATTCTGTGCTGGGGATCCTGGTTTGGGGGGCTTGGGACCCTCATTCCTCTGGGGGGACCTCCTTGACCGAGATATCCCTCCTGATTCTCAACCGCCACACAGAGGTTTGGAGCTAGCCTGTTTCCCATCTCCTCCTTTCCTACCAGTCTCTATGTGGCTTCTTTATATCCTTAGTTATAAAACTTCTGTTCAGTTAGACTTCAGATGGTTCTCCATGTTGATTGTTCTATAATTTAGCTGTCATTTTAATGTGTTCAGAGAAGGAAGCAGGTGCAGTGTTTATCTACTCCACCATCTTGGATCTCTAAAAGCCTTAGTATTCTTTTATTATCCTTTGTATGTTTGTGATATCCATTGTAATTTCTCCTCTTTCGTTTCTGATTTTATTTATTTGAGTTTTCTCTCTTTTATCCTTAGTGAATCTAGCTAAAGATTTGTCAATGTTTTTTTTTGTCTTTTCAAAGAGTCAGCCCTAATTTTCATTTATCTTTTTCATTGGCTTTTTAATGTTTGTTTTATTTATTTCTGTTCTGATTTTTATCATTTCCTCCCTTTTAACTGACTGAGTTCTGTTTGTTCTTTTTCTAGTTCCTTAAGGTGTAAAGTTAAATTGTTTATTTGAGATTTTTCTTATTTCTTGAAGCAGGCCTGTATTGCTATAAACTTTCTTCTTAGTACTGCTTTTGCTGCATTCCAAAAATTTTGATATGTCGTATTTTCACTTTTATTGATCTGTATGTGTCTTCTTATTTCTTCTTTTATTTTTTTACTGACCCAACAATCGTTCAGTAGCATGTTGTTTAATCTGCACACATTTGTGATTCTTCCAGCTTTTTCTTATAGTTGATTTCTAATTTCATCCTTTTGTGGTCGGAAAAGATGTTTGATTGGATTTCAATCTTAAATTTGTTGAGACTTGTGTTATGTCCCAACAAGTGACAGTAAGTAGTCTATGTGCACTTGAGAAGAATGTGTACTCTGTTTCTTTTGGATGAAAAGTTCTAAACTTATCCATTAAGTCTACCTGGTCTAGTGTGTTATCAAAAGCTGATGTTTTCTTGTTGATTTTCAGTCTGATGATGTATCCATTGGTATAAGTAGGGTATTAAAATCTCCTACTATTATTATGTTTCTGTCTGTTTCTTGCTTTAGGAATGTTAATGATTGCTTTATGTATTTTGGTGCTCCTAAGTTGGGTGCATATATATTAATAAATGGTATTTCTTTTTGATGGATTTTCCCCTTTATCATTATAAAATGTCTATATTTGTCTCTTGTTATCATTTTTTTGTTTGGAATTCTGTTTTGTCTGATATGTGTGGCTGCACCCACTTTCTTCTGGATACCATTTGATTGGATTATTATCTTCCACCCTTTCATTTTGAGTCTATGTAAGTTTTGTAGCTGAGATGGGTCTCCTGAAGGCAGCATATATTTGGATCTGGATTTTTAATCCATCCAGCTACTCTGTGCCTTTTGATTGGTGAGTTCAGCCCATTTACATTTAGGGTGATTATTGCCATATGGGGACTTACTAATGCCATTTTATCTTTTATTTTCGGATTGCTCTATATCTCCAATGTTTCTTTTCCCTTGTGTTTCTGTCTGCTATTTTAGTTTGGTGGTTTTCTATAATGTTTTACTCTGTTTCTTTTTTTTGTTGTTTTGTGTCTCACCTCTGGATTTTTGTTTTGTGGCTACCACAAGGTTTGTAGAAAATGGCTAATAGATAGAATAGTCCTTTTTCTTCTAATAACATCTTATCTTTATTCACCTATACAGGTTCTGTTCTTTTCCTCCTTTCCTTTTTATGTTTTTTTTTGTCACATATCTCTTTTTGTGTTGTGTGTTCATTATCAAATCGAAGAAGCTATAGGTATTTTTAATACCTTTCCCCCTTTAACCTTTATGTTATAATTAAGTGTTTAACACCCTTTCTTGAAACAAAGTTGCTATTTTCTGCTTCTGTCTATCTGTTTGTCACCTTACTCATAGATTTGTGTATGTTTGGTTTTGTTTGTTTATTTGTATCAGGTAGAAGAGCTCTTTTCAACATTTTTTATTATGCAGCTTTTTGTAGGTAAATTTCCTCAGCTTTTGTTTGTCTGGGAAAGCCTTTATCTCTCTTGCACATCCAAAGGATAATTTTGCTGGATAGAGTATTCTATTAATAGCCTGATGATTTATATCTCAGTATTTTGAATATATCATGTACTCTTTCCTGGCCTGTAAAGTTTCTGCTGAGAAACCTGATAAAAGCCTGATGGGGTTTCCTTTGTATTTGCACTCTCTCCCCACCTCTGGCTTCCTTAGACTTCTTTCTTTATCATTGCATTTTGACAGTTTTAATGCATATAATGTATCTTGCAGGTCTTTTTGCCCTGAGATAATTAGGTGTTCTGTTTGCTTCTTGTACTTGTATGTCCACTTCCTTTTCCAGGTTTGGGACATTCTCATCTATTATTTCTTTGAACAGACTCTCTATTCCCTTTTTCCACATGTCTCCTTCTGGGATACTCACTCTCCTTATGTTGCTCTTTCTAATGGAGTCAGATAGTTCTCATAGTGTTTCTCTATTTTAAAAAACATCTTAGTTCTCTCCTTCCCCCTGAATCAGTTCTAGATTTTCATCTTCATGCTCACTAATTCTCTCTTTCATATGTTCTGCTTCATCTCAGTTATTGAGTTCTTTAGCTCCAAAATTTCTCTTTCATTTTTTTTAGAGTTTCAATCTCTTTAGTAAAGTACTTCTGTTCATTGATTTTACTCCTGAGCTCGTTGAACTGCCTTCTGAATTTTCCTGTATCCTGTTGAGTTTCTTTATTACTGCTATTTTGAATTCTCTATCATTTATATCAAAATCTCACATGACTTTGAGTTTTGTTTCTAGAGAATTGTCGTTTTCCTTTTGTGATACTGTGTTACCTTGGTTTTTCATGGAGTGTGATGTGTTTTCCCTCTGTCAGTGCATTTGGAATAATGAATACCTTTCTTATTTAGGTACTGTTTTGGTTTTAACAATTCTACAGGTTGATAACTAGAGGTCTTTTGTTTATTTGTTTTCCAGTAGGTGGTGCTATCGTGCAAGGTTTGGTTTTTTTCTTATCTGTGTGCTAGAGTCTCTGGGATTGCTGGTGCCTCATGATCATCTGAGTTGTTGTCTGGGTGACCAGTGTGGAGGGTGCCCCAGCTGTATGTGGGTCACCTGGGTCTCAGACCACCACTACCATGGTAGAGGGATGTGGCAGGTGAGGGGAGCCGGGTTTGCAAGTCTGCCATGCTGCTACCTGGTTACAATGGCTGCTGGTGCCACTGCACTGTGGCCAGGAAGCTGAAAACGTGTCTCCACTGCTGCTACCAGGCTCTGTGGTGGTGTGAGCACCACTGCAATGAGGGAGAGAGCCAGATTCTCCAGGTGCTGACACTACTCTGCCTTCCTTACCGTCCGCTGGCCTCTGGGTTGGGGCCGCACCCCAACTCCTTCACTACCACATTCACTGGGGCTGCAGCTGAGCTCAGGTAATTGGGGATATGAGCTTCGTCCCTGTCCTTTCCTCTTTTCTGCCCCCACTACGTGTGCCAATACACCCCCATCAGAAGGACTGATGTGTGGATCTTTCAGGTGACCCAATGCACTGAACAGAAGAAACTTTGTTGGGTTATAAATGTCCTATGAGTTGTAGATTGCAGGGGAGATGCCAAAGGGTCATCTCACTTCACCATCATGGTTACATCATTCTATGTATTCTATTATTGATGGGAACTTGCATGATTTCTAGTTTTTGACTATTATAATAATACTGCTATGAACATTCTAGAAAATGTCTCCTTCGGTGAACATATGTATGCATTTCTATTTGGTCTGTTCCTGAAAGCAGATTTGCTAAGTTAACTGTAGTGAATACTACCAAATAATTTTCCTAAGTGGGCATATATGACAGCTTCAGTTGTTCCACTACCTCACTGACACTTGGTGTTGTCAGTCTTTGTGATTTTAGTGAGATTTTAATGGTTAGCATGAAATTTGAAAGATGTAAATAAGATTATATCTCTAAATTGTCTAATAGTTTTAATTTTTCCTGGAATAAAATCAATCTTCTTTTTATTGCCCACAGGCTCCTGGGTTTTCCCCTGCCTCTATGACTTCATTTACTCCACGCTCCTGCTTATTGACTGTATTCCACTGACTTCATTTTAGTTATTTTGAAATTTCCAAACTTTTTCCTTTTTCAGAGATGATTTGTTCCTGCTATGAGGAGAGTTCTTCCCCAGATCTACCTGGTGGGCTCCTTGTTATTCTCAGGCCTCAGCTTCTGAGGTGAAGCCTTCCCAGATACCTTCTCTATCACTCCATCATACTGTATATAATTCATGTTTCTCACCAACCTGAAATCACCTCTTTAAATTTTCTTTTTCAGTGTTTACCCCCACATCTTCCCATCCCCCATTCCACACATTAGACACTAGACTGTAGCTCCAAGAATGCTATCTTCTTTACTGCTGTGTTTCTGGTACTCAAAATGTCACCTGGCACGTAGTGGGAACTGCATAAATACTTGATGAGCGAATGAATAAGCTGATGAATGGAGCTTGAGGGAGAGGTTAGACCTAAACCCTCAGGAAAACCAGTCCTTTTAGCACCACTCTGCTGTCACCTGTGCTGCTTCCTCCATCCCCATAAGTTCATTCATTCCAGTAACAAAAGTCAAGTACAGAATTGCTGCTATATATTCTCAAGTATCCCAGAGAGGGAAAACGTGAGCACTTACAAGCCTTAATGGTGTAGAGCCCCGACCTCCCGCCCCTGCCTGGGTTTTGGAACAATTAATCCTGATGTGTGAATATATTTCTGCTTCATTCTCACTAGGAAACTTTATCTGCAAGTTCTGGTCTATGGGAGATCAGCAGATAATTAGTTGGAATAAATAAAAACTACTATGCATTTTATAAAATACATATTTGTATATGAAAATCTTTAATAAAAAGTATTGCCCTGCTACTCTTCTGAATATGCATCACATCCTGATCTGAGGATCAAAGAGATTGGAGGTAAAACTCAATAAATCTGAACTCGGCAATACCTCCATCACACACAGATGGTTTCTTCACACCTGCTCTCAGAGGGGGGTAATGAACCTGTAGAGGAAGTTGCTTCACTTTATAGAAAACATAAACCAATTGAAAGAGTTTATTACTCACAGCTTGTGACTAATAGCATAAACTTCTAAGAATAGTCCCACTGCAAAAATGTCTTCAGTTGGAAAAGACTGTGACAAGAAGAGGTGGTAGGAAGATGATGATAAAGAACGCTGAGCTCATCTATTACTGTCAGACACTCTGCCGTGGAGGTTTTAATGTCACCTCTGAAAAGTGAGCCTAATCATCCCTATTTTATAGATAAGGGTTGCTGCTGGGGTTTGAACTCTCTGTCAGGGAGAGGACAGTGAGGTATTGTGTGCCTCCTTTTGAAGGCCCCACATGAGACATCAGAGGTATTATTTAATGAGTTTTCTACAAATAGATGAGAGGAAGACAAGCAGCCAAGTGAATTTCACACAGAGGACACATGAATGGCCAATGAACATAGTCAAAGATGTCCCACTTTATTAGTAAATAGGGAAATGTACAATAAAATCACAATATAGCTTTAAAATCATTGGACTGGCAAAACTGGCAAAATGTAAAAGTGTGACATTATCAATATTGGCAAGAACATGAAGCATGAAACTCTTACCCTCCAAAGGACACACATGTGGAGAAAATTAGGGATTTTCTAATATAGTCAAAGATGCACCTATCCAATGATCCTGAAATTTCACTCACTAGACAACCTCTCAAAAAACCCACACGAGAGGACATTACAAAATCCTGCACCATAACACTAATTTTAGGAGCAAAATATAAATTCCAAACAACCTAAATGTCCAAGGAGATAAGTATATAAATTAAGGTATATTCATACAATGGAATGCTATGTAGTAGTGACCTTGAGTGAAGAACTATACTTCTCAAAATATTTGACTCTCACAAATATAATGCTAAGTGAGAATAAGCAAGTTATACAAATATAGATTGTGGTACTTTTTATATAAAGACTAAAAAGTCCTACCCAGGAATACTTTATACTGCTTAAGGAACACACACACACACACACACACACACACACACACACACATATCAGGATGATAAGCGCTAAGCTTATGATAGTGAGCCTAGTGGGAGAAGTGTATACAGGAAAATTGGTAGTTTATTATTTCTGGGGCTGGGTCTTGCTTACATAACTTATGAATTGTTTTAAATTATTTAGCTCTTACATATTGCACATTTAAAAAGAAAGTATAAAAAGTGAAAATTAAAGAGAAAAAGTAGAGTGGTTCAATTCAGGAAGTTCCAGCGTGAAGCAGCATTTTTCATGGTCATAACAAACCAAACTTGAGCTCTTCCACCTGGAAATTCAAACCACGTTTGAATTTCATTCCTTACATTTTTCCTTAGCAAACAATGCTATCCAGTTTCTCCTGTTTTTCAAGGTAATTGAGAACCTACAGTAAATATTTTGGTTTTCTGTTGTTTTCAATTGCAAAGTTTACAATCCCCAAATTAGTTCTGCTTTCTCCATGTACAAAAAAACATATTTTATGTGGAAACCATCCCTGGAAGTGTAAGTGTCCGATCCTAGCCTCACTAGCAAAATGAAATGTCAGAAATGTCCAGTAAGAGAGAGGTGCTAAAGCGGGGCTGGGATGGCCAGTCTTAACTAACTTCATAAGTTTTGGGGCAACTATACTGATAAGACTTGGCATGTATTGTAGTCCTCAAACATGAAAAACAAGCTAGGACATAAATTCATCTATTCATGAGGTAGAAACTAAAAATTAAAAAAAAATTAAAAAGATGTAAAAACAAATCTCAACACCGCTTGTAACAATAGTTACAAGTGCTAGTCACTTTGTTTTGTTTTGGGGTACATAAACCTTGCAAAAGATACATGTACAGAGGAACCTCATTTA